TTTTTCTCAAATCAAATTAAACAAATATTTTTTGTACTTTATACACATGAATTCTATTTTCTTTCTCTTTTTAAAAATCCTATTCTATACTGACTTTACAAATATACATGAAAGGGACACAAAGTACACCCCGACTCAGAATTTATGGATCACACAAAGTTTTGTCCCGTGTGGGGATCAAACCAACAACACTTAATGCAGTAGGAAGCGGTAAGCCAAACACTTAAACCATTCATGCTTTCATCCAAATTGTAAAGTAAAAACATTATTTTACGTAAAAGAGCAAATTATAAAAAAAAAACAAGTAACACGCTCATTCGCCATCAAAATACGATATTAAAGAACACTTTTACGCTAAACAACACAGTTAAAGTGTTATAATGTTCAAAAACAGTACGTAAATGCACTTTTATTTCAGAATAAGTAATCATTAGAGTACTTAAGCGACAATAGACATATGACAGATAAATATATTTGACGCCTGTTTGACGAAAGGTTATGAAAATGTAAAGAAACTTCTTAGTACATACTACTTTTTAAACTAATATGGTTTACGGAAGTATATAATATTTGGAATACTTAAAGTTTATTTGTAGAAAAAAATCCGAAAGCTCAATTTTTTATGGGGCGTGTAGTGACGGATTAAGAATACAGCGTGTCACTACCCCTATTTATCCTATGGGTGTCGTAAGAGTTGTAAGAGCCGTCTGAGGGAGCAAACTAAGCAAGATAACAGCACTGCAAAGAGAAGGAAATCTTGAAACAAACCCTATACCAACCCGTATGGCCAGCATAGTATAGTAGGCCAAAACCTCCTTTCTAAGGAGAGGCATATGTCCAGCCGCGGACTATTAAAGGCTGTTGATGATGATGATTTGCCATAAAGTAAATTGCACCGCTGCATACGAGTATAAATATAGATATTCAGTAATGACCTGTCATGGTACAGGGTGGCTAGGTCAGGGTCTCGTACCATATGGGATAGGGGTAGCTGACCCCTATCCCATATGGTACGAGACTTTTGGCCTTTTTTCCGTTTTACTTGTCCCAATTTCCTTAACCTGAAAGCGATTAAATTCCAAGAAATTTTAACACTAAAAGGTTTATTCTAAGAGACATCAGTCTGAACCTTTCGCAATATTGGATTTGCAACAGAATTGTAAAAACGCAGGCAAATAATTATGATAGTTTTTATAGCTTCAGTATAATTTTTAGACTTTATAATTTGTTTCCTCGTATTCAAATACAGTTTTTTTAGGGTTCCGTACCTCAAAAGAAAAATAAATTTTATATAACCACGCATGATATGCATTCAGTCATCCTTTTTTCGGATATATGACCCCAAAAACGTCAACATATCTGCTTTTAAGAACGTCACTGTACAGATACACCACAGAACACAAGTTTTAATGTCAAACATGAGCATTTATAATGCAAAAATGTATCTGCTTGTGTGAGCGGGTGTACGGCGCCGAGCGAAGTGAAAGTTATTACGTAACAATCAGCTGTGTAGTACAATCTGGTGTAAAGAGGTGAGATGCTTGTCGGTCCGCTTTTTTTAATGACGTCATTTAGGCCAAGAGCTTAATTAGGCGTAGGGAGAATATTGAGCACAAGAATGTTACCAGGAAACTATAATAATTAACTTTAAAAAAGTATTAACGTCTCCAATCATGATAAATTGTAATGGACCATAATAATAATATATTTTGGACATATGACACACAATGCCTGTACTATAAAAAAATAAAAATAAAACTCCAGAACAAATATTTGCAGATCATACAAACATTTGGTTACATACAAAACCTCAACACAGCAGTCGCATATACTACCACTACACTACCGAGGCATCCTACAAACTTAAATTTTGTATGTGTATTTTCTTTTATGGGGACCAAAAAAGGAGAGCCATACTTCAGCACAGATGGGTCGACTCCATCGGAATGATGCCACGCCCTCACAGAAAACCGGTATTAAGCAATTGTTTCGTTGCTGTTCACCGAGTGAGTGAGGTTAGCGAAGCCCAAAACCCCCTCTTCTCTATTTCTAGAGGGAGACTGAAAGAGAGGCGACGCTCTAGTGACTCTTGAGGTGTATGTAGGTGTAGCGCTAAGCCATCTGAGGGCCAATTGCGAGTTTATTTCACATCTACTTGATCGTCACGGTGACGGCGTTCGGCGCTACGATTGGCCCGCACTGAAATCTTAACCAATGGCAACGCTAACCGCGCTCGCCATCGAGAGCGATTCGATTTGTAAAAAACTTGCACTCGGCCCTCGGGTAAACCGTTTACTCGATTCCCTTATAGTGTAGTTTAGTAGTGTAGCAGTAGTAGTAGTGTAGTAGGTCGTTAATCTTCAGGGAAGGTATTCAATCGAATTAAAATTGGTTCACAAATGGTAAAGGTTCGTGTTCAATACACAAAAAAACAGTTGAAATGGAGGTTCTCTCTTTCTTTTGAGGTCAGTTACAAGCTATATTTAAAATCTATACTTTATTTTTACGAGTAAATATAAAACGATCTTTGCTCTTTAGCAAGCTATCTGGACTACAATTGAAATATAGGTCAAAAGGACAGAGTCGAAGTTCTATGTGTTTGATCTCAATTTCTCCTTCTCTCTCTCTCTTTTTAATAATTTGTATTTAAAGAAATGTCACAATTGTAAAGATTCTATAATTACTTCTAAAGGAAGATAATATACCTAAATATTAACGGAAGAGCAATGGTTTTATGATATTATTAATATAAAACTACGCGCGCATTGTGCGCATCTTCTAATTCCTACCTAGTTCAGTTCAATCCTTAAGCAAACACAAACTAGGTCGCGGTCTATAGCCGGTATATTAGATTAGATATTGCCAGTACAAAATAAGTTATCAATATATATGGCAAATGTGTGTCGAAATAAAATATTCTATTAGGAGAGCTCATTTCGTAACGTCTCTCAGCGAGAGCCACCGTTGACGACCTACTCTTTAAACGGGTGTAGATACGATGAATAGGAATGACAGATAAATTGGTAGCGAGTCAAGATTTCTTTTCTTTGCGTATAAGGGAAATAAAATATAAATCTATATATATTCATAACTAATTGAAACAACCTCAGATTTGAACAGATACATCATTGTAAGTCCAACACATTTCTGTTAAGTCTATGAACAATTCGCCTATGGATTGACTTGAACATAATTAATAATCTACTTTTTATTATTCATAAAATAATTATTTGTAGTCTTTTTAAACAACAGACGAACGGATGGCGTAGTAGTTTCTTTAATGGAGTGCTATGCCAAAAGATCGTGGGCTCGATTTCAGCTTAAGTCAAACATTTGTATGCATGGACATTTAATGTTTGATTTGGTGTGGGTGTTTCTATGTATAATATGTATGTATTTACAAAAAAAAGTATTTATATTGTATATATTTATGTCAGTTGTCTAGTACCCTTAGTTAGTACTACTTAGTTTGGAACTAGATGGCGTTGTGTGAATGTGGTACAATATTATTATTAAATTATAGATTTGGCACAGGTAAGCATATTTTAGTCGGCACATTTAATGGTTATATGTAGGTATATAGCGCCTCAAGATTGGGAAAGCCGACCCCGCGGAACGGGAAGAGGTGAGGACAAAGAAGGTCGAAATTGGACCAGCCAATCGATTTCTTCTAATACCTAACCTAAAACGGCCTAACCTAAAATATGCGGCCGTCTGATCTTAAATCAAGTAGGGTTTGAACTAAGTAATCACACACAAACACAAAACATATGATCTTGCTCATTACACAATTACCATAAAATATAGCGAAAGTAAAAGAAAAATAACCAATTTAAAACTTGCTTACGAATAATCTAATAGTATACCTGTATTCGCTTAGGGTTAAGCCGTTCGATTACCAGTGGAAAGTCGCTTAAGACACATATTTTTTTCGACTTTAAAACAAGATTATTAAAAATTAATACATTAATATAATTTATTCTATTAGGAATTTATTCTATCACCCTTATTCATTCCGTGGGTGTCATAAGAGCCGATTAAGGGAGAAAACTACGCAGGACAACAGCACTGCAGAGAGAAGGAAAACTTGACGCAAACCCTATATCAACCCGTGTGGCCAGCGTGGTATAGTAGGCCAAAACCTCTTTTCTAAGGAGAGGCCTATGGCCAGCAGTGGACTATTAAAGGCTGTTGATGTGATATAATGTATTACTTATGTTGCTTAAAAAATTATACAAGTTTCATCTAAGTGATGTTGACAACTGCTTAAAATACGTACCGCTTGAACCACAGTTAATGAGGAATTAACAGGCATACAGATAAAGATAGAAGCGGAAAGTGGCTGTGTTTTATACTATGGAAAGAAGATGGTAAATATTTTCTAAATATTTATACATGTAAACATACAATAAATTAGAAATATTAAAAAGGAACACTTACCTGCAGGGCTATAAACACAAAATTAAAAGAGCATTTATAAACAAGGGAAATATATGTATTAATGTGTTAGTGTATAAATATGTAGGTATATGTACAATGACATCATAGATGTGAGAAAGCAAGACATAGTTAGAATAGGCGAAATTAATTTAAGGAAAAAAATGAAAATATGAAATGTACAAAAAATATCTTAAATACAATTATTCAATACCTGATGTTGTCACCGCATCCGGAAATGTATAAAAAGTCGGTATATCCTAGCTATGTCTTGCCGAACGACCACATCTGAGCTCTGTTAGTACGTTTAACTGTCGGTAGGAGGCGCTGTATTGATGCGAGACACACTGAATCGTAATATCGTGTTTTCGAAGAATAAAGACAGAAAAAAGAATAAATAAATATACACAGAAAAGAAAAATGCAAATAACTTTGAGGTGTCGATATACTTACATCCAGTTTTTGTTAAATTCTAATAAAAAGTTAAAAGATTTTTTTTTAGGTACAGTACAGGAAGCGTGCATTTATTTAAAAAAAATCACAATATTACGCTTCGGTGTGTATTAAGACTTACTTTCGTCATTCACCACCGGTCCGTAACTTAGGCCTTCGTTCACATAGTCAATATTATTAGAATCCTGGACTCCCAAAATTCCAGCTTTCGCCACTCTATGACAGCAACCTTTCAAAACTCCTCCACAGGAGCCTTCAAGTAAACCTCCCACCATCCAACAGTAGAAAAAAAACTCACAGGTCCCTCCTTGAGGACATCGTTTCTCATCTTGCCTGTCGTCAGATGTTGGAGGTTCTGTCGTTGTTGGAATGTCATTTATGATAGTTTTTAGAGGTGTCAGAACTCGACCCTTCCTCTTTGGCAGTCTTGATGGCAGACTATTCAGTATTTCATTAATCTTTAACATCTGTTCATCTGATATGGGCTTGAATTTAGGAAGATCGGCTAGTCGATTTGTTACGTTTGGGAACCCATAGAAATCCGCCCTTTTCATTTGTGCATTGTCCGTTTGTATGAACATCGGTTTCTCTAATACGTGTTTTTTTCTTTTTATTTTATAATCCGTGTCGTACCGAGCTCGATGTGGTTCGTTGGCATCTGTTCGAATTAAAAAAAAGAATGTCATTTTGGAAACAGCGAATGAATGAATGAAGTGGTGAATGTAAGTCATTCTTATTTCAAATTGAGCGTTAAATAATAGACTTGATTATAATAAATACGGATCAAGATCTACTTTTAAAAAGTTTTTTTTAAGATAAGAATACAAGTAGACACTTACTACGACTTTCGAAAGATTAAGAAGAAGAAGCGTAATGAAATAGCTATAAAAGGGGATCTAAAGGGTTCTAAAGGATTTAATGGTAAAGAATGTATTTAGTACCACATTAGGAAATAGTAAATTACATGCATGATACAAGAAATAAATGTAAAACAACTACACCATAATTCTATAATTATGTACCTGATGAAAAGTTATTCTAGTCACGTGTTATACATATATGTATATACATCATGAACTTTTTTGGTATATACATTTTCACAATATTAGATATCTAAAAGAAAATTATTGTACACCTTAAAATACCGTAGAAATCACATTAAAAACCAAAAAGAATAGTGCCCAGAAATTTTGATCAAAGAAAGTATTATAGATATTCTAAATCCAAAGAATACAATAATGTCGACATGCAGCATAAAATTCTAGTTTAAAAACTAAATCCAAAAAAAAGAATAAGGTTTAATAAATATTAATTACATTGTGTAAGACCGACCGACTCACCGTTTATTAAATATTAATATATTTTTAATTTAACGTATTACACACCAGTGTTGATGATTAAGAGGCATAGTTTTTGTTTTTGTTTCACTTGTGGGTTAGTGCTTAATAAATTAATTTTACGCTGAACATTTGATGTATTTGATACTTTTTAATTATTAATTTAATATTACATGTTGATGTGCTATAATTGTAAACGGTGCAGCCTTTAGAATAACTCGCATTATTAAGTTAATTTTACTGTCTTAAAAAAATGCGAAAGATTTTGTTAATTTACATATAGTTTTATTTTCATTTTCTTATTTGAATTACAATATAAAAGTAAAAAACTGTAATATTCCATTTCGCCTTTTTAAATTCCAAATAAGAAAAAATAGGGGTTCACACACAGGGTGGGGTAATCTACACGCCGTAGATGGCCCGAGGTACGTTGGGGTACCAGGGATTTCCTTTCTAGAGTACACCTGGTTCCCCGGCTACTGGTCCGAGACGGCTTACGGTTCGTAGTCGGTTTAAGTCCGACATAACCACCTCACCGGTGGGTGGTACCCGTGGGATTGCCGCACAGAAAAAAAGAAGTGGAAATCGATATTTTTAAAGTGTCGTTTCCCAACTGAGGTTTTACGGTAAAGTGTTGATCTAGTTGATTGATTAAAGTGTTGATTGTCTAGTAAATCAGGGCTTGAGATACCAGTATTCACAGGCCACCCTCTGGACTCTGGCAGACAAGGCCACCTTTTAAATTAAGGGCAACCCCAATGTTGCTTTCAGTTTAAAAATCGAGGAACACGACGTCTGATCTTGTATTGAATATCAGCGAAATATACCATCGTTCCGATATTAAAGTCGTGCCTATAAAAAAATACATAAGTCTTGAATGTACAACATCCGTCAAAGGTAAATAATATTTTAAATATACAGTTGTCAACTTATCAACTATCAAAATGACAGCTTACGTCAAATTAAAATGTCATAAAGCATCACTTTAACCTCAACAATATCCTGATATGTCAATATAGACTTCACAACAGCACCAAAGTGAACGGCATCGCAAAATTCTTGACATCCGATTTGCGCAATCCCTTGCACAGTCATATATTATGACATCCTGGGGAAGCTTGTGATGTATACTTAGTAAAAATTAATATGTCATTGTTAATACATGGAATTAGGATTCTTTCGTCAAAAGAGATTGTTCCAATGTCATTTTTTTATAGAATAGGTCACCATAGAAATATGTATAATGTATACGAAATGCCAAAGGATTATTTCTTTCATCATTCATCAACCAATGACGAGTTCGATTCTTAGGTTGAATACATAGTCGCATATATTTTTTTATTAGTAGTTGGTTTGTCTTTTGTTATATAATAGTTAGCAAAATATCAATGTAGCCGTAAAATTGTAAATACCGTTAGATTATAATCTATCTCACGAGATTGTAAACTGTCGAAAGATTGTAAACCGAAAATGATCGCGCTCTGACATGAATAGATTAGGTTAGAGGTTAAAGCGCCTTAATCTTCGTGGTTATTTTTTATGTCCACCTAGATTTCTTGGTGCGATTATATTAATTTTGTATCTCAGAGAATCATCAACCATTAAAAAAATCACAGTTTGACGTTTACACTTCGATAGATTTATTTATTTTTTACGTTGCGCCTCCATGTAGACGTGTTTGCGCTCTTCTTCCAACAGCATCCTGAATGTTTTTTAGATACTTCCTTATTCAGATGTGGATTTCTATTCTAGTACAAAATAAAAATATTTAGTTTGTTAATAATTTTATTTAATACTAACACTAGTTTAAGACCCACTGTTACTAATACAATATGGATAGATTTTGTCCGAAATAAATAATTTTAACTTTGATAAATCTACATAAAATTAATGCGTTAATAATCAAACAGGATGTTTCGGTTCACAATCTTTCGTCAGACAGATTATAATCCCACGGTATTTACAATTTTCTGATAACGTGACATATTATATGTTTCTATTTTCTGTCACTAAGAAATCAGTGAATATTGGCATAAAAACAAAACTTTAAATTTTATTGTTTAAATTTAAACTAAAACAAAACATCATGATCTAGATCTTCTTAAAATGAAATTACAAGTAAAACTAATAATCGGATTTCACAAGAAGTATCAGGATGATATCATCAAATCCTATTCGACAACAAAAACAAAGGTATTACGACATATGCCTCGTTTCCCCCATTATGGCACATGAGAGAGCGAAAGTGCTTGAATCATTCTGTCTCTGCGCACCTCACTTTGGGCGCTTTCAAACCGTTTTGTTTCCTTCGCAATTTGTCCGTTACGTCACCGGCCATGCTGTATATTGACGTTTGGCTGTCAACGTTTACAATTATAATAATTATAATTGTGGCAATTTAAAAAGTATGCACGATATTTATACTTTTATTGACGTTAATTAGAATGTTGTACCGACTGATATAATTAGAGATAGGACTTTTGAAAAGCAATCTAAAATTTATATATTTTTTTTAATATCCGTTAAGATGATTGCAATTTGAATCTGTGTAACTGAGGGACTGAAAACCGAGTTTCTATTGTAACTGCTATGTCAACTGATAGTTACAGGAAAAATATGATTCCATTTTTTTATCACAATTAGTTACTTGTGTAGAACAAACCCGTATGAACTTAATAAAAAATTGTATAACAAATTTAGTCAAATTGAGAAAAAATAATAATAAAGGAACTATGATCACGTGACTGCAACACACAGAAGCAAACATTCATGGTTGCAATTTTGAAGTATCGGTAAATGTTATTGGTTTTTTGAGAGGAATTACGGGACGGTCGACCGGTGTAATGACCACAGCATCGCAGAAAATAAGTAATATCTTCTTTGCTTTTTACAGAATGAGTAAGATACCGTAGGAACAACCTCCCTTCCCCCCCCTCTTCTAGTTCTAGCAACACAATAGGGTAGATTCCTAGGTTTAAAATGAATTACTTCGCCTGTATCATTAAATCTAACATCTCAAAGTAGAGACTGAATTGTCCTCCGTCGTCAATTTGATTTTTTTATTCATTTGATATCTTGAAATCAACGTTAAATATAAATGATTTGACAATAACTAGGTATGACGTCACGAAATAGTATCTCATACAAAAATGTACCGCGTCCAGCGTTTTGACGTTTAAAAAAAGACACTGATTTGACAGTCATCTACCCTTTTTTTTTTTCCGTGCGGAAATCCCCTCGGATACCACCTGTCGGTGGCATGTCGGACAGTCATCTACCCTATTGTCGTTGTACCGCTTGTAACCCAGGTGAGCTCCCTACCAAAAGAGCCGCTAAATATCACGTCATCCAGCGGCTGACTTAGTAGGGAAGCATTGCGTTTAACTCTTGGTACTCTGTTAGTTAATACGTTAACTCCCGGAAATAGTTAAATAGTAGATTGTGTATAATGATGTAACAGTAATTTTTACTGTTTTATTCACAGTTAACTGTTTGTAGTTTATTTCACAAAATTTTAACTTTAGTTTAATTAGTCTCAAGATTAACGAGACGTATAAATTCATTAAACCTATTCATTTTTTTATTCTAAGTTATTATTTCGTTAATTTAATTGTAATTTCAGCCGTGATAGTCAAATTAATCATAAAAATAACTTGAAAAACCTTACAGACGGGCTTTAATCATAAATTAAGAAGCTTTCATACTATGGTAACCAAAATGTCAATAAACATACTTATATATATTTAAAAAACAGACATATTATAGATAAATAACACTCGATTAACACAGACATACTAGGCATGCCTTTTAAGTTCTGTCGTTTCCATATTTCCCGGCAATTTTGAATTTGGAACTGTTCTATATTCGAATGTGTTTAAATTTTGAATCGTAAAACAGTTGAAAGTATTAGGATTAATGATATTGTTTAGTCACAGCGTCGATTGGAATCTGTCAGGTTACGTACGAAAATAAATCTTTTTAAGGAAAATGTTTGTGCAATAATTTTGTACAAATTTAGAAGAGGCCTGACACGGCTTCAGTGCTTTGAAGAGCTAACATCTGTGTTCAGTGATGAGGCCCCATGTCTGCGGACTGTCGAACGCTGGTATTTAGAATTCCAGTTGTTAGTGACAAATCTCGCGAAAGACACCAAAAATCCGCCTTCACTGAAGATAATATCATGGCTGTGAGACAACTAATTCTCGAAGATCGTCATGTGACGTATCGAGAGATAGAGGCTCTATCAGGCATCTCAGGGACAACCATTCAGAAGATCTTGCATGAAGCGCTTGGTGTGAGAAAGTTAGTTTGCCGTTGGATACTGCATTTGCTTTCCGACGATCACAAGG